GGAGGGAGAGGAGTTCTCCTTACCTCTCCCCACTTCCTCTGGGGGCCCAGCACGTTCCGCTCTCAGATGTGCAGCAGTGTGGATCCCTCCGCTCTAGCTTTTCACTGTCTGGGATTCCGTTGTTGGTCTGTGACTGTTCCTTTTGTTGTATCTTATCGGGGGAAGAGTTCACGGGAAAACTCACTCCGCCATGATGCTGACGTCACTCTCTCTGGTTTTCTTCAAGACAACAAGAGCTCGTATACTCAGAGACAATTGTGTGCTAAAGCTTTCCAATGCATTGGCTTGTTCACTCCCCATTTTACAGATAAGAAACTGAGGCTTCAAGAGATGAATCTAGTAAATGGAAGAGCCCAGATTTGAACCTAAGTTTTCAGTCTCCAGAGCCCAAGTATACCTTCTCTCTGCAAGCAGGACTTAGGAGTTTAGAGCTGACAGAGCCCTACCAGAGCATAGGTGAACTCCTCACTTTCCCCTTGTTGGGGAAAACAGAGCAAGAGAGGCAGTTCAGGAGCCTGTTGGTGCTAAACTGGGCCTGGAATTCAGGCCTCCGGTCAGTCAGGGCAGCATCCCTTTGGACAAGTGTCTCGTGTGTATTAAGCTTGACACGCTAATACAGCAATAAAAAAGCTCTCATTCTGGAGTGCCTCCTGTGTGCCAGGCACAGGCACGGTGCTCCGAGTTTACATATGTAAATTTTTTACACCAGCCCACGAGGGAGGAATCATTCTTCCCTTTCACAGGTGAGGTAACTCAGGCTCAGAGAGGCTAGATAGTTAACAAGAGCAGACTTGGGTTTTGCATGCAGATATTTCTGACTCCTTCCACCCACTACACTTTACCTTCAGAAAATGCGGGCCTCCCACAAATTTGAAGCATTTGGCTGAGTGTAATTTTTGCTGAGCATCCTGAGAACTTGCTGTATCTCCCATTGAATTTGCTGAGCCTTGAATTACCAAGAACCCAGGATCCACCAAGGTAGCCCCCACTAAGTTGTTTCTTTGTGGGCCTCTTGTGGCACCTTCAGCCTCTGGGCCACAAAACCATGGAGGAGTTGTCTGGGCTCAAGAGAACATTAAAAGCAGCTCTAATTGTAATAGAATAAACCTTTAAGGTATCTTAGTCTTGGACAGTGACTTTCACAGCACAAGCACTCAGCAGGGGGAGGTCCTTCAGAAGCAGAATAGCCAGCCCTGAGAACTAAGGAGAAGAGTTCAGTTTTTCCTCTGGTTACTCCCAAGGGTTCTGGGAACCCTTCCAGCCCACTGGCACAGATATGGAACTACTGCTGTTCACTGCCAAGTCCACAAGACCATTCGATAGTCCACCCTGGGGGGAGGCCCTGGAGTGTAAGTGCCTTGCCTCCCCAGACCTGTTGCGGATGAGCTTCCTGCGTGGTAACTTGGGGATGTCCATGTGCCATCCACAACTTGGATTTCCCCTCTTATGGTGGGCCCATTACACTTTAGGCTGGAACATCCGCAGCCTTGTGCACCACCTATCCCATGAGGGGCCTAAGCAAGGCCCCCTACTCCCATTTCTACTGCTGTAGTTTGGTGTGGGCCCCTGATTTGGCCTCCCTGCTCCTCACATAGCATGAGTAAGTACTACCAACTCCAGGGCTCTGCTTCGTCCCTCTCTGAGCTAAGGGTGAGTATCAGCTGTCCTGACTCAGAGGAGGCCGCTGTGTGGAGCCACACTTCAGACAAGGGGGGAGTGTGGTTCAGAGTTTAATACAGGGTAGAGGAGAGCTGCTAGAGATTCCAGTGTAATCTGCATTTAGGTCTATTCATAGCTCCGGCAGTTTTCTACTGTAAATCACACGAATGATTTACAATAGATCCTAGATAAATCACGCAAATCTGCTGCAAAATGGAGTATTTGCCACAAATCAGCTTTGAAGGGATGTTGGTGATGAGTGAAGTACTGTTTGTGCAGTGTGAGATCCAGGAGTCCTTGAAAGTATGGTATTTATGTATGATACATTTTCATAGAGGCCTTTATATCCAAGAATCTCAAGGCTCTCTCTAAAAACCCTGATCTTGCAAATGCTCATAAGAATCACCCAAGGCTAATGAGGGGGAGAGGAAGAGGCCCCATATCCTTCTTCTACCCACAACTTGGGCTACCTACTCAGCCATGGCCTCAGCCATCAATAGCTTGGAGCAAGCCTCTTCCTTGCCTCAAGACCTACTACCCATTTCACAGGGGGAATTGAGAAGGCCAATTTAATTTAATTGATTACCACTTACAAAGCTGTGGTTACTCCTCTGAGAGGCCTATTTAAAGTTTCTGAGCTATATAGAGATAACAAAATAAAAAGCAACAGTGTAAGGCAAAGGATGATTATCAAATTGCTCTGGGAACCTTCAATGTGAAAAAGATATAAAAGAAAGATTGAAAGGTATTAGTCTATAAGTCTCACTGAGGTCAGAAGACTAGAGCAAACCTTCTTTTTAAAGACTTTAGAAACAAAACTTTAGAAAATACACACACATGCGTGCACACACACACACTGTGGTCCTTTCTCAGATAAATGTGAGTTCCTGTCTTAGACTGCATTAACATTGTTAACCTATTTTAAATTCCTGTGGCACAGCAAGAGTCTTACATACTTATAAGATTTTTTTTTAAGTGCATGAGCTTTAGACTCATTCTCTTACTTTAAATAGATGTATATTAACTCTCCGTTTAGGCTGCAGGACCTCCTAGCTTAGTATAACAGCCTAACAAAATAAGAGTGGATACAAACTCTGTAATTTACTCACAGGCATAAATGGATATATAAATGTAAAAATGTGCACAATATTTTATGCCATGCTTGGCTTCATTGTGACATAATGTTTATAATATGTAAATAATGGCTTCCTTTTAAAGCAAAGAACTTTTAATATACAGATTCATCTGAACTCCTTTTTCTTTAATACAAACAGAAATAAAAAGAAAAAAATATTCTTTTGCAATAAATAAATACCCAATGACAAAGGTTACCATTGAAGGGATTTAAAATGACAGAAGTCAACAGAAAACTTTCAATATCATACTTCCACTTTAATATGAAGATATTGTTATCAAAGGAAAAGACTCAAGAAATTCTCTGATAAAAATAATCTCTCACTATCTTTGAAGCAGTTTCATTTATTTTACTACCCACTGTGTTCCTTATCAGAAGGCCAAGGGTAAGAAGTTTCCTAGTTATGATTAGGAAAGAATCTGATAGATCAGAAGACCCAATTGAAGTTGGACATAATAAGTATTAAAGTATTACATGACATTAATCCTGCCATTCCATTACTCTCTCCATCTTTGTGCACAGACTAATTATTCCGAAGCCAGTGTTCAGGAGAAAATAGAAACATACTTACCCCGGGCTGGAGTAATCTCTTTATTGCGTCAACAAGGCTGGCTCTGTACTGGTCCAGAAACAGGCTGACATTGAGAAGAGAGCAGAATCCAGATTAAACTGGGTTTTCAAGTCTAATGATACTAATGGAGATAAGAACAAGGCTAATTACACATGTTTACTCAACACTAAAAAAGAGAAATTGCTTCCTTCCATTTAAGTGTCTCACTGGGAAAAAAAAGATATTGTGGTTAGTGTTATCCAACCAAAGCCAAGTCATCAACATGCAATGGGCCAGGGGCCATGTGTTAAAGGACAATTTCTAAGCTGCTGTTTGGGAGAATCATCTGGTGGAGATGAAGCACTCACTTCCTGTCATTGGAGCTCAGTCTCTGTAGACTCTACCCACCACGGGTGCTGTGAGGCCACTCTCCAAAAACAAACCACCAGCCCTGTTACATCCAAACCATGAAACAGATCTCAGGTGGTGATGGTTTTCAGTGACTAGGACAAGCACTGAGGTTAGATTCAGCCAGTGACTAGGAGTAAACGGCTCCAAAAACAAAGACCAGGTTTAAGCAAAGTGTCACAGAGACCATGGCAACTCTAGATTTTCCCCCCTTGATCTCCATGTTGACTTTTTCCAGTTCACGGTGATTTTTCATTTTTCTCCTCTGGTCTTCTAAGAATTTCTGTTGTTGCTCTGTCACTCCTTTGGCTGGGTCAGTCTGACCCTGTCGAAGTTTCCTTATCTGGGACTTCCAGCCTAGAACACTCAGCAGCCTTGTGCATCAGCTATCCCATGAGGGGCCTAAGTGAAGCCCCCTACTCCCATTTCCACTGCTGCAGTTTGGTGTGGACCCCTGATTTGGCCTCCCTGCTCCTCACACAGCATGAGTAAGTACTACCTATTCTAGGGCCCTGCCTCTTCCTTCTCTGAACTAAGGGTAAATATCAGCTGTCAGTAGGAGGGCAGCTGTGTGGAGCCACACTTCAGGCAAAGGGAGAGCGTAGTTCAGGGTTTAATAGAGCTCTGACAATGATTTTTCTGCTATGTGACCTTGGGCAAGTCACTTTGCATGAGGCCTCAGTATCCTTGTCAATAAAGGCCCACCTATGTGGCTGTGGTGGGCATCAAATTAATATATATGTTCTTTGACAAATATTTGTTGATCACCTACTATATACTAGGGGCTGTTTTAGACATCAGAGATAAGCTCTGAATAAGACTAAGTTCCCATCCTCAGGGAGCTTCCAGTCTGTATTCATTTATGCATCACCAGTTCTAGCACAGCATACATACATAGAAAGTACTCAATAAATATTTGCTTACTGGCTGACTGGCAGGTTAATACAGTCCTTGAAACCGAGGAGCTTCTGTAGGGTGTTAGTTTCATGACTCTAAAAGGTTTTACACGCTCCTTTACTGGTATTGTTAGGGAGGAATCGACATTTAGGTAGGATGTTTCACCAGACTACGTTCTCTTCCAATTCTCTCATTTGAGAAAGAGGAGTGGGGAGAGCAGTTTATGAGAAGTTTCCAAGACATCAGTGCTTGGATTTCACCATGACATGTTTAGTGGAAGTTTCTTCTATAAAATGATGCTTTGAGTAATGGAAAAAGAATCCTCTTAAGATGAGCTGGAAATCATGTCTAGAATGGGAACCTTATCCCATTCCATCCATCAATCAGGATAACCTGATTGTTATCCATGGGAAAGTTTTTTTTATTGTTCCATAAAACTACGCACTTAAATCTTAGAGCACAGAATGTGTCTAATTCAAATACTACAAAAATTTGCCTTTAAGTCATATTAATCAGTAATTACTAACCATTAAGGATTGATAAGAAAGGAATCAAATTGTATCTAAATGTTTTAAAATCTTTTCTTCAGGACTACATACTGTCCCTATTCTTTAGTGGGGTAATAATATCTTAAGTTTTAATAATTGAGCATTCTGTTTTTGTTTTTTAAGAAGACTGTCACCGTGGGGAAATATCTCTGTCAGTTATTCAGGCCTATAGGAGACCTGGCTGGTTGGGATACACAGCATTAAGCAAAAGACCATTCTCAGTTTATACCTGTGCATCCTAAGAGCTGGTACAATTTTTAGAAATAAATAAACAGGACCTTAAAAGCTGAGCTTGAAACATAACCTCATAAAGAACTATTTCTACTTAATGTTGGTAATGGCGTCAAAGATATTAACATCATAGCTACTAGAAAATGCAGCTTAACACACAGCACACATTCCAAACAGAGCTATTTGAAACGTGATGTTGTCTACTCCGTCACTCCAAATCAAATTTCCCAAAAGTAATTCTTGTACTTCCCTAATAGGTTTTTATTCCAAGCAAGCTTACCTTTCTACTTAGGTCTGATGCAGACTTTATAACGCTTTGTAGGATACGTCATTTCAGCAATTTTAATGTGCTTTAGTAGGAGTGATACATAATCTCCTGAAAATTCACTCCTTAAATAAGTCTTAATGGGCTCAGAGAACAGCAGTAGCTTAAGTGCATCTATTAAAAAAGGCTGAGTGGGTCAGTGATTGGGATGAAGATACCATTTCAACTCTCCCTTCAGCAGTTACTGATCAAAGTACATTGACAGACTAGTTTGGCCATTAAACACACACATACACACTCACACATACACACATTCCTCTATATAATTCACTTGTGGGATCAACACTTGCTTTGTTCCACTGATCTGAATCGCAGATTTTGTGACAAAGGAAAGGTGCCGGGCCATTTCATCACTTCTTTCAGAATCAGTCCGAGTTTTATGCAGAGCACAGAGCACCTGCAACTCCTCTCATAGGGAAAATTAATTAGTGCCAAGAACAAGGAGACATTTCTCTGTCAGTATCCACGGAAAGGAAGACCTCGATGTAATTTTCAAGGTGAAATGTGCCAAGTTAAATTCACTGTTTTAGAGTTAACTTTCAGCAGAGGAGTGGCCCTTAGCAGTGTTTCTCAAAACCAGTTGTCGGGGGAGCTGGGACTGATGCCATACTCTGGTCTCACTTGGCTCTACTTCATACGTTGAAAGATCTTTAGCAATTTGTATGTCAGCTTTGGGACTGAATTTCCTCAGGTGTGAGGTGAAAGGGCTGACTACATTTGGGTTAAACATCTTTTTAGGTGTACAGGTCTGTGAGTTGTGATTTAGAACCACCCCTATCACAGCATCTGAAAGAAAACAAATTTTAAAGCCTATTTTGAGAAAAATTTTTTTTCCACGAAAACACCTTAAAAACCAAAATTTTTTCATCACAGAGTAAATTAAAAACGATAGAAAATAGGAACAATCCACTGTACATAGTTAGTGTAAAAATGCTGAGAGAGCAAGTGAGGTGCTGTTGTACCTTCCCACATTTCTTCCCCAAGTCTCAGGCTGCGGGCGTGCAGATGTGGAGCTGACTGTCCTGCATACCTAGCTCGATGCGTCAGGCTAGGGGTGGCATTTCAGACTTGCTTTCCAAGCCTTTAGAGAATCCAAATGTACAGAATCATTTTTATTTTTGCAGAGCTACAATAAACTGGAAACCCATCAAACACTGAATGAAAGTGTTCATTGGATAAAAAACATCGTACTTCCAGACTCTTAGATTATTGTGACTGAACAGGAGTCTGGAAAGGCAGGCTTAAAATTAACAATCACTCGCTATTCTAAACCCAGCAAGGACCAGGCTGGACTGTATTCCAGCAGAAAGGAACTCTAACATTAAAGTCAACATTAAACAAGTCAACCAGGAACTTAATAGGCAGAGTTTTTTCTCCACCTGTGGTTAAATATTCTAATATTTTGATGTTTGTCAACAGCATCCTTTTGCAGGTGTGGCTGTACCTCGATTTTCCCTTCTGTTTATTTCAAAGTTGACATTTTACAAGTTATTTAGGAAGTGTTGAACCATGAAACTATATTTCATTGTCAAAAATGCTGAATGGTGAAATAATGACTAGCTTTTACAGTCTGCCTCTTTATTTTATAATCTAGTTGAGCTACTAAATTTAGATGTGAACTAAGAGACTGTCTCTTCTGGGAAATAAGTTATTTCCCCCATTGCCCACAGGTTTATGAATGTTTGAATGTAAATATATGAATATATGAATGATTGAAGAACATAAACATATCACGGCTCATTGTAATCATGTGCATTTTACTTGAGCCACAATGTAGGTTTGGAATAGGTTTGTGAATAGAGCTTGTTTTCATGTAAATGGAATCAAGCAGTACCACTGGTTAGCTATTCAGAGAATCAGACTATGCCACCCTTGCTGGAAATGCTTCAATAAGAATTTAACCCATGCACCTAATATTTGAACTCCAACTCTTACTTCATATTCCTGTGGCCTAATCCAGATCTCATTGACTGACAATGACTAAAGGATGGTGTGAGACTTAATGTGATCTATTTATGTGTGGCACCAATTTCTGGCACTGAGTATTTCAGGTTTCATCTTGGAGGTAGTGTCTAAAGAGAGCTTTCTTTTCCTCCTCTGTGACATTCTTAAAAAAAAAAAAAGGCAGCATGGTCTGCCTGCCTGCCCCTGGAAGCAGCATCCATGCAATAACTCTAACAGAGAAACACCAAACCAACAGAACATAAAGAACTCATGGAACCCTGTGTTTCACTGCTATATGCACAACATGCATACTATAAACATCACTGTACTTTCTAAGTTTCTAAGCAGCTTACCCATCCCTGTGAATATGAAGAGAGACCATTACCAAAGCATTTCTTTTGGAAATAATATCAGCATTGCAGTGAGAGTAGCTTAATGTTTCACATTTACAAATAGGAAAATATAAACAGGCTGACATTCTGGTACTTACAACACCAGGAAAAAAACTCTTAACAATTCATGCATAGAAAAGCCATTTATATAATAAAATTTGGTGTATTTAGTTCATTTGAATCCATAAATTCTCACATAGCTACTTGATGCATGTATGTACACGGTGTTTGTGTACATACAACATTGTATTATGTGTTTGTAACGAAAGCTTTAACTGAATATGCATTATGTGTATCAGTTGTGTGTGACCCTCTTGTTGGCTAGGGAAAAAAGACTATTTTTCAAACATGTTGTGTGGCTATTTTTAACCTGAGAACATTAATCAGAAAAGAGCTTAAATCTTACTTCCTCTGCTTGTCTCTCTGGTACAAATAGGATGACATGGTGTGAGTGTCCGTAACACAGGGCATGACAAAGCCATGCTGTTTTGATATTTGTGTGAAGGACAAATTTAACTCTAAACCTCTTGGCCAAACCTGACTTTCCCCACATAATCAGAGCCCATCCGTGTGTGACCCTCGTCTAAACCTCCAAGAAGATGCTGCCCTCCTTCCCTCTTTCCGCTGCTCTCTGATCTGACTTTCTGCTTAATCTGATCTAATCCTGCCAGCATTGTCTTCATCTGTGCAATGAAACCTGGAGGATCCTTTCTCATATTTGGTGAGGAAAGGCATTTACTAAATTACTTGCTCAAATCATATGGTGAGGTTTTAGCTCCTTATTTTTGATTAGATGAGGGATATAACATTGAGACACAATATCAATGATTAGTCAGAAATCTGTTTCTCCCTTTTTTGGAACAAGGTTTTCTGAAATTGGGTGCAAAGAGACTAAAAGGGCCATGGAAAACTAGAAAAGCTCTGCTAAAAATGGAACAAAATATTTATTTTTCTTTGAAAAGTATTTTTCAAAAGAAAAAAGAAAGCAAATCTAATTCTATTGACTTACGTAGAAAAGTTACCCATTGGAAATCTTATTAAATAATAATAACAATAAAAAAGACTTCTTGGGGCCGGCCCCGGGGCTTAGCGGTTAAGTGCACGCGCTCCGCTACTGGCGGCCCGGGTTCGGATCCCGGGTGCGCACCGACGCACCGCTTGTCAGGCCATGCTGAGGCCGCATCCCACATACAGCAAGGATGTGCAACTATGACATACAACTATCTACTGGGGCTTTGGGGAGAAAAAGGGGGAAAAAAAAAAAGAGGAGGATTGGCAATAGATATTAGCTCAGGGCTGGTCTTCCTCAGCAAAAAGAGGAGGATTGGCATGGATGTTAGCTCAGGGCTGATCTTCCCCACAAAAAAAAAAAAAAAAAAAGACTTCTTGGAAATTTCATTCCAGTGATTCAACTCTCCCGTAGGGAAAGTCGTCTCCAGGTTCTGGATCTTTTGATTAGGTTTATCAATATAACAGAACTTCCTCAGATTTTGAATTTGTTTTCAAATATAAAGTGTCATAAAAAAATCATCATGATAAACTACAAATAACACCTTACTCTTAGGGAAAATACTTGTGAATCATCAATGTTTCCCATACGCCAAAATAATTATTATTCAGCACCCATGAAGAAAATACATAAGATTAGTTGAAATAATCATTAAGGTTTGATACATATTTATCCTGTAACAGGATCAGACTTTCATTAACAATAAGTAGACTGGGCTAAAAGAGAAGATAAAATATCTAATGTAAATTATTTTTAAAAAGCAGGCACATGACGGATTTTAATATTATTATTTGCATAACAATAAATGTAATTTTATAATTCTTGTTTTATGTATAATTAAATATCATAATTGAATACACTGAAAATATTAGATAGCAAACATACATTTTAAGAAAAGCCATTTCCCTAAAGATACTTCACAGATATGTTTATTTGCTGGAGTGTATATGTGTGTGTACACATAGATATATTCTCTTATATCAATAGTCAGATCTCTCCGAAGAAGTAAGCTAATTGAGCTGTTTGTGTTGATAAACTCCTTTTTCTCCAGACTATTCCTCTCCGAGCCATAATTATTTGCAATTTGCCTCAGTCGTCCATTTACTGATACGTCAAGCATGAAACAGAGGCAATTCCAGAAAATGGAAATGCTTCTCAAAATCAGTCTTTGGGAAATAATGTGGTAGAAGTTACTGTGTGATAGAAGACTACCTTATAACTGTCACATGGAGATGAATATTAATTTGCTGCGGTTGAGGTGGCTTTGTGCTTCATCTGTTGGCTTTGCTTAGCCGTCAGCAAAGCACCACAGCCCAATTACTCCAGCAAAGCTATTCTTTCTAAGAGGAGTTTTATGATGTTTATGTACTTACCAGTCAGCACACATGACAATGTCAAAATGTCCTTCCAGTTGACAGACATCTGTCTCATTATCCCATCGTAAAACGCTTGAGGAGAAAGAGATTTTAAAAATTATACTTAGGTTTTTTTTAACTTTTGATTTTGAGCTATTAACATTATTTTTTGTGGCACTTGAAATTATTTAAAAGGCACATACAAATTATTTCAAAAGGTGTAATAAAGAAACTAGGGATGTAACTGTCTCTATTTTATTTAGTCTTCAAAGCTAGAAGAAGAAGAATTCTCTATTTAAATACAATAGGTAAGCTTTTGCTAGTTTTTATAGGTTTTTGTAGACAAACTAGGGGAATATATCTTATCTTTACCATAGTCATTAGAATGAGTCTAGACTCTTAACATCAATGAGGTATATATTGAAATCAAAGTATTCCCCATCTGACTGGAATAAAAATTTATAAAAATAAGTGGAGTGAAACTTAGCATATATCTATCTTGTCTGGCATGTCGGTTAGCTTTCTTGTTGATGAAATGAGCAGTTTGGCAAGATGGAAGAAAAGAAAAGCCAACTTTCATTTGGTGGTTCTCAGTTGTTAGGCACATTTTAAAATTCACCCAGCCTAATACTTACTCTTCAAAAGAGGATCAGTTTTTAAACCTCATATTAATAACAATAATTAATAACATGTATTTGAAAATTCTAATTATGCTTATGAAGCCAACTAGACATTCTAAGTTACTCTCAGTTAATAACTGTGATGATTAGCATTTTACTATATTGAAGTATTTTAATGATTCCTCTCTCCACCACATCAAAACAGTGATTTGCAGTACTATTTTTCAAACTAAGATTCTCTTCCTATTCTCTATTTTGATTATTATTTAAAACAAAACTGAGTAAGCACATCCCACCCTGTCCAGTTATATTTGCTTATCTTGGTAGGTTCTTTATTTCTTCTATGTCTTCCCTGGGTGAACAGTCATATGTTTGAATATAAAAATAAGTCTTTAGTAAGTCCAAAAGTTCTTTTCATGTACATTAATATACATCACTGCTAGTGATTTTCTTAAGGTAGGAAAGATAAACACATCATCATGAAAATACCTATACAGACCGAGCATCAGTCGTTCATTCAGTCATTTGACTTATTCCTACTGAGCACCTACTGTGTGTCAGGCCCTGTGCTGTGCCACACACTGTATCTTCACGGAGGCAGCCCAGCAGGCCATGCAGACACATAAACCCATAATTCTAATGTGTCATATGTGTCATAGAGACCCGGAGCCCCAGGGAGGGCTTTCCAGAAGTGGGCGACCTCTGTGTTCACAGGTCCTATGACACATGGATGAGCTTTATAAATTAACACTAGTGTTGTACTTGCCTGGGCCCACTGGAGAGCCAAGAAACAGAAGAAACCAGGACACCCCTAAGAGATTAACGCTTACTTTGTTTTTGGATTGACTTCTCAGAAACTCCATGCCCCTGGGGAGAGTGGGAAACAACCAACACCAACTTTTCCAGAAATGCTGAAGCTTCTAGTGCAGCTGGGACTCAGGCTCAGTGGGCGAGTGGGCCGGTTTCCCTCAGAGACCTAAGAGTCTTAGAGAGTTTCTACACAAACATGATGGTTTAAAATATAGATCTGTGGTAGACTTGGTCAGGTCATAAATGTAATATATCCATTACACACATTTTTGGAAAAAGAGAAAAGTATTAAAATTACTCATAAACTTATCATTCCATGAACCATTTTTTAGAAGATGCTTCTAATACATGTGTAATTACCAAAGCACAAGAACGGAAAGTGCAGGAAATCCTGTGATGGATATTGGATATTGGATTCCTGAGGTACTTCAGCCTGTTGCAGAGACAGGGGCTTAGACAGAAATTGGTTGTGGATTTCCACAGCAGATGTAACAATTTGTGATTCTAAAAGAAACTGAAATGACCGGCTTGGCCACATGGACCACAACACATTCCCAAATGGCATTTTCTTCCAGTTCTCACGAGGCTTATGGCTATGCTGTCCCCATAACCATAAGCAATGTGACAAAGAGGTACTGGTGTATGGACAGAGTCCAGCTTTGGCATGACAGACAGACACACCCAGGTTCAAATATTGGTTGCTTCCTTTACCAGTTGTGTGAACTCTGGCAATTATTTAACCTCTCTGAGTTTGTTTTCTCATCTGTAAAAAGGGGATAACAATGGCCATCTTATTTGAATACTCTAAGAACACTCTTCACACTGTATTCTGGAGTTGTGTTGTTCACATAGCATACAATGAAAATGGTGCCCCCTGGGGTTGTGAAATCAAGCAGCTGTCTACCTTGGAAGGCAAGAGATGATGCTGACTTCAGTATTCAAGGAGCTGGTCCTTCCAACTCCTCTCCTCCAATGATCTTGCCCTCTACCCTCCTGAGACACTCACATGATGGTCATGCACACTAGAGCAGTGCTTTAGCTGTGGGGAAGGACCAGATGTTTTTGTTGTTTGTATCCAATCTGTTGCAGACAGATACTTGTGTAAAATATAATAAATTAATAGACAAATGAAATTTAAAAGGCAAAGACATTCCAAATACAGGTCTGCTGATCATATGCTTGGTTGTCACACCAGTGTTTCTAAACATTTACTTTCAATTTCTGAACTTACTTCATTGCAGATCAGTAGCATACAGTTCACAGACTCCAGTCCAAGTCCTATTCGTGAGCAGCAATGCTCTAGATCTTGTCTTTATCAATAACTACAACCCTGACTCACTCTCTGACCAGCCCCTCTATCTTTCATAGCTCACTCCCTCTAGAAAGTATTCTAATTCCAACCATTCTTCAATCCCACTGGCCTACAATCTGCTGATCCTATCACCATGTCACTGCCCCTCTTCCCTAATGTTTATCTTCCCTCCTCGCCCAGCTCAGATCCCATAGCCAATCATTTTAACTAGTCCCTTGCACAAACCCTCAACTCCCTTGTCCCTTTCTTACTTCCTCATATTTGTTAAATCCAGCTCTCTGCCTGCTCTGAGACTGCAACTGTGCACCTGAATTGGTTGGAGAAAGCACAGAAGCATCCTGACTGGCTTCCCTTTAAATTCATGATCATGAACCTCAAGTGGACTCTTAATGATGTCTGGCAGTTATACTTACGTTTCCCATGTCCATTTACTCTCCTGGTCTCCTAGGTCATTATTTTTTACTACCTTCTCGCTTTTCAAAATTCTCACACTTCCTCCCTCATCTTCAGCTAATGACCTCGCTTCCTACTTTACTGTCAAAAGTACAGCAATCAGATGAGAACTTCCACAAACTCCCACCACACTTATACTCCTAACAGCATCTGTACCTACATACTCTGCCTTTCTGCCTGTTATCATAGATAAATTTGCCACACTCCTATCTAAAGCCAGCATCTCCTCTAATACACTAGATCCATCCGCTTATGTCTATTCTAGGACATGGCTCTAGCAACTCTCCCTTCTCTGTCCTACATATCAATTCTTTCCTCTCTACTAAGTTATTTCCATCAGTATTCAAACATGCAGTTATTTTCCCTCTCTTAAAACATCCTCTCTTGACTCTACCTTCCCCTCTGACTATTGCTCCATTTCCCTTCCCCTCCTCTGCAGCAAAACTCTGTGAAAAAGTTGTTTAAACTCTCTATTTTCAATTCCTTTCCTCCTATTCTCCCTTAAATCAATTCCAATCAGGCTTTCATCCCCACTGTTCCATCAAAAATGCTCTTGTCAAACCCATCAAAGATTTCCATATTGCTAAATTCACATCAGTTCTTAGTCTTCATCTTACTTGACCTATCAGCCTGGACCTCACCCATGAACTGCAGATTCATATATCCAACTTCCTATTTTAATATCTCCACTTGGATATCTAATGGACATGACCTATCAAACTTAACGTGTCCAGTATTGAATTCCTCATCACCCTTATCCTGAATTCATTTCATTCATAGTATTTCTCATCTTGTAAATTCCATCTTTCCAGTTGCTCAGCCCAAAAACCTTGAATATATCCTTGACTCTTCTTTTTCTTTTATACATTGGATATGCCAGGAAACATAATTAGTTCTACCTTTGAAATATGTCAAAATCCAACTTCTCTGTATCTCCACTGCTCCCATCCTGGTCTAAACTATCATCATCTCTCATCTGAATTATTGCATAGTCTCCTAATTTGTCTCCCTGCTTCCATTCATCACTCTACAATCTCTGCTCAAGAGAGCAGCCAGAGTGATCCTCTTAAAACATATATCAAATCATGAGCCTTCTCTACTTAGTACCTTGTAATGGCTCCTCTCTTCACTCAGAGTAAAAGCCAAAGTCTTTGCAGTGACTGACAAGACCCTATGTAATTCAGTTACCACACTGACTTCATCTCCAATTACTCCCCCCTTTCTCTCTTTGCTTTAGCCTCCTTATGATTTCACCAGACATGATTCTGCCTTATGGCCTTTATATTGGCTGCTTCCTCTTTATGAATGCTCTTCCTCCAGATATCCCTATGGCTTGTTCTCTTCAACTCTTTGCTCAAATGTCTTACCTTCTGAGGGAGGCCAACCCTGACCATTCCATTTAAAACTGCAATCATTCATTTCCACTCCAGGACTCCTGAACCCCCTCATCCTGTTCCTTATTTCTTTATAGCAGTTATTACCCTTTAATGTGCTATACAACTACATTATTAATGTTGTTTATTCTCTCTTTCTCCAGTATGACATGAGCACCATAGGAACAGAGATTTTTTTAAAAATTTATTTTGTACCATGATGTATTTTCATTGCCTAGAATAGTTCCTGACGCATAATTGCTGCTCAATAAATATGTTATATGAATGGATTGCGTATGAATGTACCTAGCATAGTGCCTGGCACACAGAAGGCACTCAGGAAATAGAGGTTCCTAGGTAAGTTATTCTCTGAATATAATGTGTAGATTAACTAGATATGGAGGCCACTTAAAATGCCTTCTGAGGATTTCTGCTTTTGGCAAAGAGAGTAACAAGGACCTCATTTACCCTACTGCCTGAAACAACCAAAAAAACTAGATAAAATATATATGACAATAGTTCTTA